GTTATTATTAAATGTATTAATATTTTTAATATCAAAATATTTTTATTTTTTATTTTTTATTTATAATTAAGATATTTTTAAATTAATATTTATCTATTTTAAAATTAATTTCACATCAAATAATCTTAAAAATGCACCTTCACATTAACTTAATATATTTAAAAAAATTAATTTTCCTTAAAAGTAGATAATATTGAACTTTAGGAGAAAAAAATAATCATAACCTGATTACTTTCGTTATTAAAAACAAATCTTCTATTTAAATATTTAGTATACTTTGAGTCAAATTACATTTATCTTAAAAGTAATCTATTTTCAAGTGAAACTTATTATGCATCGCCAAAGTCAACTAATACTTGTTTTCTAATTAATTCAACCTTCGAAATTTTGGCATATTTTTACTTTTAGCACATTGATTTGACATTAATTTCTTTAGATAAGATGGCATCTTGACCTTTTTGTTCTTTTGCTTTTTTAAGCAAACAAGACATCATTTGATTTGTCTTGAAATGTCTTTACAGCGTGTCCATGACAAAGCGTTTGGTAACACAATACAAAAGCTACAAAGCAGAGGACCAAAAACAGGGATTTTCGAGGCTTTTTTTTTTTTTGTATTGGTTTTGGGATACGAGGCTAATTTAGGTACATCACCGGAAAAATCAACCCCAGGTGGACTCACCGTCAATTCCACTTAAAACCATGGCGTTTTCCGTCAATTCCCATTCCATCAGAATAATAACAGTACGGTACACCTACCAAGCCGGCAGCCTCCTCACGCCGGTGACGTATCCCCCAATCACGTCCCTCCACGTCACCTCTCCCCTCCACGTGTCCCACCTTCCTACCTCCTTCACCGACGCCGTCACCTCTCCGTTTGCCTTCCGAATAAAAACGCCAGAAAATTAAAAAAAATTACATCGAGAACTTCTCCCCTCTTTGTCCTAGATATATTTCCGGTCAACCAAAACCCTAGCTCGTTTTTTTTTTTAATTTTGTCCCATCGTCGAAATTTCTCAGATCTAGATGGAGGATGAGGATGAGATCCAGTCGCACCGGTCGGAGGAGCACTCCGGATCTCCGTCACAACCGTCTCCGCCGTCGAACGGTCGAATTTCGGTGACTGTTGCTTCCGCGCCGCCGTCCGTGTCACCGCCGAAGCAGAACCTGAACGCGCTTGCTCTGGCGGTTCCACAGTCGCAGCAGCCGGTTTCGAAGAACAACGGTGGCGGCGGCGGTGGGCGAGAGGACTGCTGGAGCGAGGGTGCTACGGAGATCTTGATCGACGCGTGGGGTGAGAGGTACCTGGAATTGAGCAGGGGAAATCTGAAGCAAAAACACTGGAAGGAAGTTGCCGATATCGTTAGCAGCAGAGACGACTACTCGAAAACCCCGAAAACTGACATACAGTGCAAGAATCGAATCGATACGGTTAAGAAGAAGTATAAGTTGGAAAAGGGGAAGATGGCAGATGGAGCTCCACCTAGTAGGTGGATTTTCTTTCATAAGTTGGATCAGCTAATTGGGCCGACGGCCAAGGTTGCCGTCAATGTATCACCGGCCAGTGGTGGTGGTGGTGGTGGAGGTGGAGGTGGGTCTAAAGTACCAATTGGAATTCCAGTGGGTATTCGCTCTTCAATAAATCATTATCGGTCAAGTCCAATTCCGGAACCTAGACAACAACAGCAACAGAACAAGAGGATGGTTATGTTAAAGAATAAGAATCAGACCCAGAACCAGAAAGTGCAGACCAGGAAGCGGGGGCGGGCAGAGACAGAATCGGAGGAGGAAGAGGAGGATGAGCTTTCAGCTGAGTCAATGGATAGTTTACCGCCTCCACCAGAGAAGAGGGCAAAGAAGGTGCAGAAGGAGGTAAATTCAGAGGGAAAGGAGAAGAAATGGGGAAACTCAGTGAGGGAATTAACGCAGGCAATACTGAAGTTCGGGGAGGCATATGAACAGGCAGAGAGTGCAAAGCTGCAGCAGCTGGTGGAGATGGAGAAACAGAGGATGAAGTTTGCCAAGGAGCTGGAGCTGCAGAGAATGCAATTTTTCATGAAAACCCAGTTGGAGATCTCACAACTGAAGCATGGCAGAAGAGGTGGAAATGGAAATAGCAGTAATCATCACAGTAACATGAACAAGCATAACCATAGTGATTGTAGTAATTAGGTTCAGTAGGATGGATTAGGGTTTTAGATTAGGATTATGTGTTAATGGGTGAAGACCCAAATTTGGTTTGGAATTAGTAGTTCTTTTGTGTATTTTGATGCTTCCTAGTGTTTGTTCCCTGTTGTCCTTAAATATCACAATTTAACTTGTTTGGATGATGGTAAGGCTGTGACCATATACTAATATAGGTGCATCCATAGTTTTTAACAAGAGACACTTTGGAATTCATTGTGAATGTTACCGAGTTGTGCATTGCTAAGGCAACATTATTGATGGTAACACAAAAATGTTTGTGGGATAGGAAACAGGCAATTGATAAATACCGGAAAGTATACAAGGTACTCACTTTTACATTCCAAGCCTTGCTCCTCTTCGGAATTTGTTGAGATTTCTGGATGCTATGGCATTCGAGTTACTCCTGTTCTACCATGGGGATGATATCGAGATGGAGGATTGCCTAGTTGGTGGCTTTTGCTGCAATTTACTCTCACAGGAAGAAAATTTTAATGTCTTTTCTCATGCAGGGAACATCTTATGGCACTATGCAAGCCATTCCAGGGGTATTTGTAACTTGCTCCTAAGCTTTTCCTGCAACAACAAATTTTCAGCTTAGTAACTTACCGGTAGACAGGATTTTGGAGCCAGAGCTTTTTTCTTCATGTGAAATGGACATTGCATCAGATAAAACCATAGCCTCTGCTAATTGTTAGCTAACAAGCAAAATGGAAACCAGGATTGAGAAACATCTCAAAAAGCATACAAAGATGTTGAACAGAGAGTATACACAAAGGCAACCATCTAGAGTTTATGGGCATACAGGGGTTCAAATGTCAATACATAATTTATCAGTGCATCTCCCGAGTGTTTCCTCTGTCAGGTGTAGTTTTCCCATTCCCCTCCCCATGCATCAAATAGGGTTCAAAACCTAAAACCATTATACAAAGAAAAAGAATAAGTGAAAAGGCTTCACAACATGAGATATCCAGTGAGGATTCCAGCTAGCTTTAGCTCATCTAGTTTTTTGTCCTAACAATGAATTTCTATGAAACATACATTGGACGTACCTCTTCTAACCCACATAGCAACTAACATAGCAAACAAAGTGAAAACATATTTCTATCTACATGGCAAACAAAGCGAAGACATATTTCCATCCACATAGCAAATTCTTTCTACTTTGTGATGTACATGTCACATAATTTTGTTATCAATGCTGGCCAAAGCATGTTAAATAGACCCCTAGTGCATTATCATGTGTCACATAATCACAGAGCAAGACTTAAGGATGATATCCTAGTCTACATCAACTTGGGTTCTAAATATAAGGTTGATTAATAAAACCCCATGTAATAGACCCCAAAGGCTGGTAGGCCAACCACTTCTTGGCCCTCAAAGAAAGACGCTTTCCAGTCTTTCAGGAGTCAAGACATAATCTCCTAGCCTGGAAGAAAGGAACTAATGTTTTTGAATTTTGATGAGGTTTGGGAACAGTTAACCTATTCAATGTGAGATGGGTGTCTCTGAGAAACAAGGGGAACCAAATATTTGAGATTCTATTTCATTCTTCATAACAATTAACAAGGTGCAGAGACTCTAGATGTCTTTACAGAAGAGCTCGTTACCAACTTTAACCAAGAAATGATGAGCCCCCCATTAAGCCAACAACAAAAGCCCAATAGGTTAGGAAAACAGTAAAAACTAATCAATAAACATCCAGTGTAGCATTGAACTAATTCAAGATGCAAAGGACCCATACTCAAAACATCTGTGTCTCCACTTTCCAACACCTAAATTTTTCTTTGAATTGCAAAATGTTGAGAATTTTGCAGAATGACTCTCTGATTTTTGCGCTTCTTAAGTACATCACTATGATTCCTCTGTGAAATTACTAAAAGAGGCTGATGTTCCAGACAAAGCAACAGGACATCAGTAAACAAAAGAAGATATTAATTTTGGATGGATAGATGTTAGAAAAATGCAACTCTAAAGTTCTTCAACACTATTTTCATGGGCTGTGGCTATATCATGAAATATTCATTTAAATTCACTGAACCAGACTAAGTACCCAAGAAATATGTCGACCATAGGCATAAACATCATACAATAAGAGTTGTCAATTCAACACTTCAAGACAATTAAACCCTGAAGATATAAAAAGCTACACTATGCCTACACTGGGTCCAAAGATTTAGTAATCTGAATAACTCAGCATTACCCCATCTGTTAAATTCTGCATAGATGCTTTGTCCACCTCTAGCACAGAGCAAAGGTTGTTAGGACTTGGAAGGAAACTTCAAATTAAACAGGGAAGCATGGACAGACACAGAAAATATGGGTAACTAGGTAAAAAATTATATAGGTAGAAAGTTAACATTAAGATGCTTTAATGCATATAGATGATGTAATGGTTGACGTTACTTTTAACATCATCTTATTTGCTTTCACTTTCTACTGATTTTTAAAAGGAAAGGCAGTGTCACTTGGAAATTTTGAAATCCTTGAGTGCTTTGAAATTTACTTTTTGATTGATAAGATGCTTTAACACTTACTTTGGCTATAGTTTAAGGTAGATATAATTTTACAACAAAGTCACTTGTCTTCTTAGTTGAATCTGGTCTAATTCTACACTAAATCAGATGATTATCTTTAAAAAGGACAAATCCGATCCCCATGATAACAATGTTGGGATTTTAAACAATAAAAATAGTTATGAGTAAGAAAGATAGAAGACTATCAATTCCAATTCACTATCTTTTCCACGCTCCTCACTTTCATGGTACTACTAAAAGTAATTATTGAAAAATGAACAAATTTTCTTCCACCCACCCAAAGCATAAAAACCAGAATACATCATGATCTTCCAAGAAGCAATACAAAAAGGAATTCCCCATACAATAAATGTGGCCAAGACTCAAATTACAACTACACATGTCAAGGGCAAAAGTAGAACCCCATATAGAGAAAAAAGTTCACAGCATTATTCCTAAAAGTCCAAGTTGAATGATATCATATACCAAACAGCAAGAAGCAAAAATCAAAATTCCCTCGCCTAATGATATGCTCCTTGGTTTCAAGCAAAAACCCATCATCCATTTTTGCTGTACATCCCACTAAATTGCCTACCACAATTTCAATCCCATCTCAACTACCACAGAAACTACAATAAACCCAATTCGATTATAACCCAATAGAAGCTAATTATAGAGACAATTGCAACATCTAGAGAAAGAACACATGAATCATCCTATCTAATCATGCGAAATAGAAGTCTACAAGATCATTTCATCAGAAAGGGTGTTAAAAATAAAGGAAAAAAAAAAAAACTGTACTTTCTTAAAAAAAGAGTGTATTAAGATCATGGTTGATAAATTGAAAATGAGAAAAACAAAGAGTCAAGCATGAATATAAGTAGATAAGAACATACCTGGGCTTGAAAATAGAGAGAGAAAAACTCTAGTCAGTTTTCAGTGGAATTGAAATATTAAATAATCGTGAAAATAAAACGGAAACGGAAAATGGTTGGTAGTAGCAGTAGAGTTCTGCATGGACGTATAAATAAAGAAGGATTTATTAAGTCATATGTTAACGATATAGTTAATATATTTTTTTAATATTAATTTATATAAAAAATAATAAAAATTGATATTAATTTTATTATTTATATTATATATTGTTTTAAGTAAATGATTAATTAAAATAAATATTAAATTTTATTTTTTAATGATAATTAATATTAAAAAATATCTTTAATTTATATCTTTATAATAACGTTAGAAAAACTTAATAAAAAACTAATAAAATTACAAAAAAAAAATTAAGGAAGGCACTAAAGAATGTTAAATAAGATAAAAAAATTTATTTAATTATTAAAATAATGGGAGAGGTGGGAGAGAGTTTTTTTTTTATTTTTAAAATTTTTTTTATTTATATAAATAAAATGAAGAGAAAGAAGAGAAAAAATGAAGGAAAAATAAAAATATACAATTTTGCTTCCCTCTCCCTTTTCCTCTCTCATTTCATTCTTTGCAACTCAAATATATAAATATAATTAGATAATTAATTAAATAAATATTAAAATTGATTTTTAAATATCAATTAATATAAAAAATATATTAATTAAACTCTTAATTTCATATAAAAAACTCTTAAATATCATTTTTTTTGCACCGATCAAGGAAAAGAAAAGTATCTCAATTAGCCTAAAAATATATCCAAGACCAAGAGCCGAATTGAGGGACTAAAGATAAGTATGAAAGCAAACTTGTGTTTTCTAGTGATGATGAAGAAAAGATGGAAATCAAAACTGAAATGTAGAAAACAGAAACCAAATATCACTAGATCACCGACCAAATCAGGTCCTACTTCTACAAGAAAGAAAAATGTGGAGAATTATTTTCTTTTTTACTCTTTTCCTAATTACTTTAGCAACTTTTTTTTATTCTTATAAAAGGGTGAATGTCATTCTATGCAAATTGATGTGATTCCAACAAACTGAGTATGAAATCTAAACTGTAAAAGCTAGTCTAGGGCTATGT